TAATTAGGCATGATAAAATATGGGTAAGTCTAAAGGTGCCCATACACTGCATGATTCTCGTACGAGAAACGCAGGAAATCCCGCGATCATACGAGAATCGTTCAGTGTGAATCAAGACGTGCGCCCGTTTCTACTGTACGGTCGCACGTCTTTTGTCTAAGGAGCATGCTAGAAAACCAGCCGAAAATCTTACGATTTTCGCCTGGTTTGAATGATGCTCGGGAGACAAATGCCGAACGGGCCGGTGTGCGCACGCGCACACTGCCCGTTCAGCATTGCAGTAATCGGAAGCCCGCTCCTCAGGGGGGCAGGCTTGCAATGATCGCAAGTACGATCTGCCTGTCCAAGATGGGCAGATCGTACGTTTTTTTAATTACTTTACAACCATCGCAAGACTAAGGTCTTGCGATGGTGGTAAAGTGTATGGCCACCTTTACAATATGTCATAGTTGCACACTGATGAGTGGGATTTGACATTTTTCAAAGCATTGTGGAACATGTATAACACAAACTCTCAAGAGCCAGTCATACAATTAATTAAGAGTGCCAAACCGTCAGGGGGTTCAGCACTTCACAAAATAGGGGTGAAAAATTCTACCTAGAGTAGACCTATACTCCACCATTTAGAAGTAATATTTCATATTCTGGCAGCTTCTGCAAAGATAAACCACCTTGCATCTAATACATCTCAGGGATTCTATTGGTGGAACTCAAGTTCCCTAGTCTGAATACCTGCTCTAGCCACTATGGGGGGTTTCCCCTCTCCCATTCATCCTATGCAGAGTAATAAAGGAGCAGTGGGAACAGCCCATTGTTAGCAAGGGCACCTGAAACTCTAAAGTGGGCAGAAATAGAGTCATAAACTTACCACTAGAGTGCCCAAAAGATGTGATGCCAGCAGGTGACTTAAATCACCAATCTACAATAATAACACTCTTTATTTGGGAGGACTGATGCTTTAGCTTAAATGGTAACTGTACCTTGCATTAAAATAGGAAAGGCTTTTCCTTGCTATCCTAATCAAAAAAGTACAAAAAAGGTGCCACACCCCGATTTATTTCAGAAAAAAGGGAGCACAAAGTTGGGTTTTTAAGGCTCCACAAAATGACAAGTCACCAAGATTTCACATGTCCGTTAAAAATTTTATTTTATTAATTACATGATTAAAAAGCTAAGAGATGGCCATGATAAAAAAACGAAATAAGGTGGAAGACACCACTGTCTACCCAGTTCCAGAGTGTAGATAATTAAGACATGATTATGTTTGGCATATGCCATCTCTTATCTAAAAAGATCATGTCATTAATAAAATAACATTTTTAACCAACATTTGAAATCTTGGTGACTGGTGCCTTTAAAACCCCACTTTTCTCTGTGCTCCCTTTTTTCTCCTAATCAAAAAAGCTGATAGCATTACAGGGCTCAGTTTCCGACATCCCTCCACCACTTGCATTGTCCGGCCCTGTGAGGCACCTAAACCACCGAAACCAATGAAGGGACTGTCTACCTAAGTGCAATGGGGTGAACATCTGCATCCAAGGTCTGTAATGATGAGGGGGTAATTGCTGCAGTTTCAATGCATAGTACAGTTACAATTTGCAATCAAGGTCACCAGACTTGGAAGTATAGATAACAAGTAACAAGACTAAAACACCTAACTTACTTGGGGAAAATGCTGCTTCAAGAGCAGGATCAGTCAATGCCCAGGCTTTAAAAGCTGTGATCAGAGCTTAGAGTAGCATTTTCTTCAGAAAATGTTCTATTACTCTTAATCTGTCAATCCCAGCAAGGCTGGTAATGTAGATTTAAGTTCAATTGTGAGTATAGGTCAACTTTAGAGGGTCATTTACAAAAACTAGAGATGTAATTCTGCAGCTGTTCATCAGTGTACTAGATATTGGTGATCTGACCATACTTCTCAAGGTTTCCTATTTCTGTGAGGCTATACCAAATTTTAAGCCCAAAAGGGGATAAGCATTCACCCTAAGTGTGTGTGTTTGCTTGGTCAAATTCAACCCAGGCAAATATATATCAATATTTTCCTTTTACAATGTTGGCCAGTATGGTGTTATTTAATGCAAAAGATATATCTTAGTATATGGATAATATTGCCTGTGCCGGTCCCTCAGTATTTTAAGAGAGTGGAGCCACCTTGATTTTAAACCAGATCTGAAAGCTTGCACACATCAAATTCACACCGCCTTCCTCCCTTACCAGCACCACTATTGGCCTAATTTTCTTAAACACAGCAAACACATAGTCATCTTAGTTTGTCCCTGTTCAGTATTTCACCTGGTATGGAACCAGAGAGGTATGTAACACATTCTGCTGTTGCAATAAGGCAAACCAAGCCAGATATCGCAAACAAACACTAGCTGGGCCAATAAAATAGAACAAACCTTTAAATTGGTAGTTTCCTTGCTACAAAACACTTGATGACGATTCTCCTTATTGCATACTATTTATTCATTGCAAGAGAGATTCTTTTTAGTCAAAATTACAGTCTGGTTTAGAAATACATGGGCCCTCTTAATTCATATGAAGTGTGAATTTTAATGATGGGTCTACCAGAAATTTTGTTCAATATACAGTATGTGTAGAATTTTTCTTTTAACCTTAGCATCATTTACATTACACTGATCCCCTTCAAATGTAAATGTAAATCTTAAAGGTTCCAGAAACTATCTATCCTTTAAATGATCCTGACCAGCCAGAGGAGCCGAGTAGTGGTAGGTGTTAAAGATCTAACACTGAGCCCCCTGGGCTCCAGCTTGGTCATATGAGCCACGTGGCAGGAGTAGCGCCAATGCTTAGAACCATTACCATTTTCTCTCATTCAATAAACCTCTTGAAAGAAAGGGGTTAATCTGAGATAGGAAACTCAGAGAACATTAGCGAATGAATCCCGCCGGCTGGGATTATGAGATTCTCTCCTGACCTTTTGTTATGATTGCCTGTCTGATGCCTCCTTATAATGTACATGCACAACCTCCAATACATATTTATAGAACTGGTTTTCTTTTTATTCTAGGCCTTTAATATCCTGCTATATTTTAGGTAGAGACACTTTCCATATCCTAGCAAGGACCACTGTAAATTAGACTAATAATAATCCTCAGCGTGTTGTGAGGTTTTATTTACGAGGCCTGTGTGTGTTTTTAAAGCAGCATAAGGATTAATAACCAATGTCTCTAGCTCTGTTAATGCACAGACTCCTAAGTGAATAGCCGAACAGCGTTCGGCTCACTTCACTTCGGGTGGGTTACTCACTCGGCCGGGTCACTGCCCTCAGTGAGTTTATAATATACAGTTTATGGCAGTTAGCAATATCTTGTTTGTAGTACTTAAAAAATATTTTAGTTAGATGGACAAGAAATTCATACAAGACTTTAGCCCGTAATTAGGCAAAAGACATGATTACTTTAATTATTTGACATCTTCAATCCCAAAACCATCAAAACAGCATTGTGCTGCAGACCTCTCTGGCCAAGGCAGGTTTTACAAAAATCTCCTGACCTCATACAGAAACCTGTATATATGATAAGTGTTGCTGAACTGCAAAAGGTTTTACCTTTTCGCTACACTTTCGGATGGTGGAGATCAGCTCACTTACTACCATATCCACAGACTTCAGACTCGGCTCCTTCAACTTCTGCACCTGCTTTTTCACAATGGCTTCAAAAGCGAGGTCAGGCGTGAAGAGTCCAGTCCTGTGCAAGTCAAAGGTGGACCCCGAAGGGAACAGGACAAACATCAAGACAAAAGGTGGTGGTGGTGGGGGGGTAGAGTGTTGAGGAAAAGGAAATATTTTAGAAGGAAAGAAAACAGAATTGAAATAAGAGACACACATGACCAGAGGATGGTAAAGGAAGATCGGCAGGATAGACAAAAGAGAAGCCAGGTGAGAAGAAAAGTCCAGGACAGAGGAAGTGAACAAGTCAGGATACAGATTGACACAAGAGGGAAATGTTCAAGAGAAACAGAGAAATACGTGAGGCAAAAATGAAAGGCTGGACTCTCCTTGGGCATGGTTTAGGAAAAAGCAGGAAGGCAACATTAATATGAGGATTGTAGGAAAGAGAGCATATAGCTCTCTGCTGGATTAACCCTTCTTCAGGAGCCATAGGGCCAAACACTGGGGGGATAAGGCAGATATGTCCCTGGTGAAGAACTCAGGGACTATAACAAAATGGGTACTGACACAAAGCAATTGCTTACCAACTACATCCTTTTAAAATGTTTACTTTAAAGCTGAACTAACGTTAATTTGTTATTACAGCACTTTTGTGATTTTTTTTTTCCTGCTTTGGAATGTTCTCTGGTGCCTAATCACTAAATAATACAATTATACATTTGAATAATAAAAAAGTGTAATTTATACACTTAAGCCATGTGACTTGTTTGCTTAAGTAAAGGTATACACCATTGGAGAAGGAAAGACAGAAAAAAGAGAAGCTTAGAGATAGGAAATAGAATGGTAGGAAAAAAACGTTTTGGAGAGTAATGATGAGCAATGATGTGGGGGAAGAAGAGACTGTTTTCTTGGAGACATCTGAGGAGTAGATAGTGACTATATTACTCATGTCTACATTTACCCTCTAGCTAGTGCTAAACTTCAATAAGGACTTAATGAGTAAGTCTATTGTCCACAGTCATCTTACTTTACTATTACAATCCAGTTCTTTCCAAAATAGCTTAAGTGTACTATAGTAAATAACTTAGAATGTAAGGTACTTCTCAATACTCACATATTCTCACACACTCATGCAATCTTGGTGGCTCTGTGACCCTGTTTTGTCAAATTGAGTCCATGCACTACTCAAATAAGACTTCACTATATAAAGCATGCTCAGATAGAAGTGGCTCAGCCAATCAGAGAGCTTAAAGACCCACTAGGTTCCCTGCTTTCTGATTGGCTATGTTCCCAGTTCATGCTGAGTCTAGGATGTCACACATGTTGTAACTGATGCACAATCTGGATCTATATCCAGAAGGATTACCTTCTTGGTGCATTGCCTAACGGTACTGATAAGCTCCGAAATGACCATGTCCACACATTTCACGCACGGCTCTTTGATCTTCTTCACTTGCTTCTTGACGATGGTTTCAAAGGCCATGTCAGGTGTGAAGAGCCCAGTTCTAAACACCCAAGGGGGCAGGTGATAAGGAGGTGATAAGGAGAATATAAAGCGTTACCCACCAGTAACGGCAATGTCATGAGCTAGAAGGGTTAACAGTTTGGCTATTAAGGCAATGCCACTGGTATTCACAAGGCAGTTTGAATACATTAAGGATCCTGATCTAGTGAAAACCCTTTTCAACTGGTATGTAAATAGCAAAAAATCTAATAATCTACTGACTAAATAAACTTAGTCAACTAAGCATAACATGTGCTAATAGGCTTTGAGCTTGTGTCAGTGGGCAAATGCAGCATGCTTTCAGCTGCATTTGACATAAGTTTGAGACGTTTCTGAGATCATTTCCAGTTAATTGACATTTGCATTTCACCTGCAATGATCTCCTAAACCAAAATACCCTGCTTTTGTATTCCTATTGACTTGCATGGGGATAAAAGCAGTTCGGATGTGAACAAAAGTCATCAACCCTAGACCTACAGGGAATCTACAGGACAGCAAAATGGCAGCTCTAATTTCTGACTTGTTTTTAAAGACAGAATCTTTTGGGTTGTCATATTTATACTGGTGTCACTATTAAGGGAGTCATCGGCCCGAAATAAGCATGCAGTTAAGGAATATGACTGCACACCCACTCCAGGTCAGTGTCTCTCTAGGGAGTGAATCGAGGATGACAAAAATCCAGATAACACAGCTTTATAAAAAAAAAAAAAAAAAAATCAGCAACGTTAGCTTCCCTATCTTCAGCCTTACTAGCACCCATACAATAAAGAAACAGTTTAAAGTGCAATCTTTAACCATTTAAATGTGAATCCTGGTGTTTTAGCCCATTCACATATATTGGCTGTTAATAGCACGATTATGTCTCCAAGCTGCTTATCAAAGAGGTGCTAGAGGGGATCGATCCCTTGCGTTAGTATTGCTCTAAACCAGAAATCAACTTTTCAATTAAAAGCAATCCCCTCTCGCAAAGGGAGCCCTATCTCCAGCGTGCTGCTGGGGAAGGAGGGATGGCGTTCTATTAAATAAAGAAAGGATGTTCGAATACTCTACCTTTTATGCAGCTTGATTTTATATAACAATGAAAAAAGAAAGCTACAATTGGGTTTTAACCATTTGATTCCTATTTCTCTAGGTGACTTCAGAGGCAACACTTCCCTTCTGTCGTTCCCATCTCTGCCCCACTGCCTTCACTTTTTCTTTCTCACCCTGGTAGTGGAAAATGAGCAGAGCTAGGAGCTTGGGTGCACAGATGTTTCCAGTGGAGTCAAAAGAAATAGGAATATAGTGGGTCATTTATAGACTGGTAACAGCTGGGCTGGCCCACTTAGCTTAACTGCTTATTACTATCTTCTAGGATCTGCAAATGTACCTTTAGTGTATCATGTGAAATGCGAAGTGAGGGCCTACTGTAAAATGTGTGCAGCCTCAATCTGCTTGTATGCCTGTTAGTTTCATATTTTCATGTACGCATGTCTACTGTTGTATTGTACTGTTACTAAACCAATAAACCTGATTTGATTAAAATGTGTGCGGCCTGCATTGAATGGATGTCAAACAGCTGCCTTATTCTCCCAGTGGCTGTGCCTATGGTTCTAAGAAGGGTGAGGCATCACAAGCAAAAGTATACTAAACAAGCATTTAGGGGATTACTAATTATAGAGTAAGGGCCTACAGGGAAAGTAGTACAAGGGAGCAGAATGCAGCAGCACTAATTCATAGATCACTTTAAGTCACAGCACATGCTATACGTGCCTGATGCCATGGATGTTCTTGATAGCATAGCTGATCTCTCTTCGCAGTTCCTTCTCATCAAACTCCATCTGTAAGCACATAAGGTATCGGTATTGGCAACTGGAAAACACGCTACTGGGGAAAACTATTACAAAAAAGTATTTATTTAATTAATTAGCCACGCTGTCATGCATGAGGTGGTTTTAATGGGAGCTTCAACAATAATGAGATCCTTTTCCTACCAAATGCCTATTTTGTGTGTGGCATTAACAATATAGCCACAATTACAAACTTTGTGATTTACACATACTATAATACAAACTGTTAACATCAATGGATTATGTATGTTAACTATGTTACATGAAAAATACTGTATATAGTCTTATTTAGGTGCAGTTCAAAAACGAATAATTAATTAAAAAATTATACTGAAAAAGTTAGTCCGCAGAGCATTAGGTTCAGTAGAGATGCGCAAAGCATTTAAAGTACCAGTACTCTCTTTATGTAGGTATCAAGGTATAGTATTGATAACTAGAATCTTTTGTCCAGTGTAAAGTCTGCAGCATAAGGTGACCGCTCCTACCATGTCACCTGCTTCCTCAATGTCCCACTGGAGCCTCCAAAGAATAATACGCAAATACCAACTCAATACTTGCATAAGACTAGGCACAGGCACACACACTACCTCGGCCATTGCCGTGATAGTGCTCTAGCCTGTCTCAGGCACCAGGCTTTACAGTACGGAAGGTGTGAAAGGAGTGTATTCAGGTTTTTTCACAGGGCTGCAGAGGTGGATTGGGGAGGGGTGGGGTTCAGGCTGCACTGTCAAAGCACCTCTTGGCTCGGTAAAAAGAAATAACAGGTCTCCCTCAAACAGAATCAGCTTTCTCAAAGCACACAAGGCACCCTTCACTTTCAGCAAGGGATTGCAGAGTATAGATCTTACAGGGAGTGCTTTAGTTGCTAAATGCCTGCTGATGCCTGCTAATTGCTTGCTTAAAGCTACTGGCATGACTTCCATTAAAGCAACCCTGCCAGTCACTTAAGAAAATGGAATGGCCAGTTCTGCATTAGAAGAGGTAATATGCTCCCTATCAAGCTGCACATGTCCCCTACCTTCCCTCCGTTACAGCACTGTAGCCTCCATTAGACTCCTTAGTGTTGGACACTTCCAAAAGTATTAGATGCCTGTGTACCCTGCTGTGAGCTGTGGTTCCATCCTCCAACAACGCAGCACCCAGCGAGAACACAAATATCTAAGTAAAACAGGTCTAACAATGAAGGCAGCTTTACAGGCTTTAAGCAAGCAGCCTTTCAAACAGAATGATGCCCTTGAAAGCAGTGTGTATGAGCAACTGGAAAACACGCGACTGGGGAAAACTGTTACAAAAAAGTATTTATTTTATTAGCCACGCTGTCATGCATGAGGTGGTTATAATGGGAGCTTCAATAATAATGAGAATCTTTTCCGACCAAATGCCTATTGTGTATGAGCTAAGATGAAACCATTCCCATGTATCTACAGCCTAAATATGTAGCACAAACAATGCTGTGCTGCAACACAGCAAATACGGGCCAGCTTTGATCTTCTTTCCAAGCTAAAACCTCAAATGTTGTTTGTAGTTTCTGAACACAACTGTCCATTGCACTGAATCACTAAACAGGACCTGTAGAGGTTCAGTCTTGTATATCTGAAGAGTGAATGGAGCAGTTTATTTTACCTTCACCAGCTCAAAAGGGAAGCGTTCATGGAAGATTCGATTAATCCGTGCACCACCAGACAGCTCGTAAGTGTCAATCTGATCCCCAGAACCTTCAATACGTTTTTCAAAGTCAAAAGCAAACTGCTGCACCATTCTGTGGAGGAGAGGATATTAGTCTCATATATTAAAGCTGAACTTCAGGCACCAAATCTTTAATTTCAATATACTCCTCAATAATCACAAATTATATCAATTCAATTTGTGTGCCGCAAATACCTTTGCAAACCCAGTTGTTAACTTTTAAATGTAGCAGGGACATCGCAGTGCTGCAACTAGCCTATGCAGGGAGCAAAGCTGTGCGAAAGGCCTAGAAGATCCACCCACCACAGGCTGTTTGCAGAAAACTACTAAGGGTTTAGCTTCAACACAGAGGATCCTGGGGCAGGAGAGATGTGCACGCAAATAAGGGGGGATGTTAAGGGTTTGAGTTACATGGAGAGTTGGTGTGGGAGTTACAGGAGGGTTAGGGTTGGTGTTATAGGGAGAGTTACTGTAAGGGTTGCAAGGAGATTAAAGTAGGCTATACATGCTTCCAAATTCAAAGCGTGGCTGCCACTGTCACCACCCTTCTGCCTGGCAATGTTCACTCAGCTAATCGAAGGAGCAGATCGGAAAATTCTTGGTCGAACGTATCTAGCAACCAATCAGCTGCTAGCTCTGTTTGGGTATTCCGGCAGCGGCCGCCAGCCGCCATCAGAATATAAAGGAGACAGCAGGGGATTCATCCAACAACACTTGTAAGCACTGATGGAGGAATCTATTCTATTTTTGTTTTTCCGTTCAGCCCGCGAGAAGGTTAATGTTAGGGTTACAGGGAGAGGCACTGTAAGGCGTTACAAAGCAGGTTGATGTTAGGAGTGCAATTAGGGTCAGTGTTAGAGTTGGGGTTACAGGGAGAGTTAATGTTAGGGTAATAAAAGGCTTAGTGTAAGGGGGGGCCCCTAGGGTCAGGCATTGCTCTCTGTGTTAGAAGCTCTTTGTTGAAAGATACCTTTTCCAGCCTCCCAGCCCAAAAGTTTAAGTGTCTGCCTTCTGAGCTCCATTAGTAATACGTTGCTTATATAAGTAATCAAACCATGTACCGGACACAGCTCAGGGCTGCCGGCAGAGATTTTCTAGTATGTTGGAAACATCTCTATTACTAACTGAGTTTGTTCTGTTTCCTGCAGGAAAAGACATGCATTCAATACATGTGCCTAGCACTAGACTCACAGAGATGAGACTGATGTCCAATACAGCTAAAACCGTCTCTTTGACGCCTAAGGGAAATTTTAGCCTTTTTGATGGAGAGGCTAAAGGTGATATTTATATGCTTTAGTTAAAGTGTAACTGGACTTTTACTTCAATTATACATAATGGGGTGTGATAGCATTCTGCAGTCCCCCTCCAAGTCATATACCCAACCCCACTCTGGACAGGCTTTAAAATGGTCTTACAGGTGCGTTCCAGTGCGTTTGAATACATTGTTGATGTGTTTCTATTCGTTCCAGTGCATTCCAGACCAGACAAAATGAGACATGCAGTATTTTTCTGGTCTGGAACGGACTGCACTGATGTGAACAGAGGCCAGAAACAGCATAGGGATACATTAGGATGCATTTTGTGTCCGGAAACAATCTGATATGGTCTGGAGATGATTCAGACATGGTGTGAATGGGCTCCTAATCATGACCCTCGCTGTGCGGCCTGCTTTACAGCCAGTTCTCAGAATCTTCATTGTGGCATGGAGAGTTAGTGGGTACAAACTCTCTAGATTAAATGGAGATCCATTATGTGTAAAATTTGCCTTTACTTTAATAGAAAATAAATCAGATATCACTAAACGCCATGCTATTCCAGAAATCATACAGCCTACTGTATATCACACTGAGCGCTACTTACTGGAGCAGAGCCTTGGTCTTACGAGCTGGATCATCTGGACGGAAATTCTTGTACTCATCCACTTCCTTCTCAATGGACAAGAGCTGGCTTTGCAGCTTGTTCCGCAGGCCTGGAAGTGTGTCTCGAATATGATTGGTCAGTTGCTGCAGAAGGAATAAATGAATGGAGAGAGTAATTCATGAATGGCAGAAGGTGGATCAGACCAGGTACAATATGGTCAACAATTAATTTCCAATTTTCCTAAGACAGACTAGGAAAAAGTACCCTTTCCTTGAATGACTCATTTAGAATAGTGTGTTGTATTAGTGTAAATGTCATTAGTGATTGGATTCACATTGTACTTCATAATATTTCAGTGTAAACAGTGTTTATAGTAAGGCTTACTAAACAGAGGTAACAGTATGACACAATGGCTTTACCCATCACACAGTTCTATTTTATGGTGGTGAATGGGCTTCAAAAACATGAAATGTCTTTCCTCATGCTCAGATAAAAACACTGGGCAGGGCTGATACCACTCAATGCACAAAATGATGTGTGTTGTCAGCCACAGAGTGCATTTCTAGCAGATCAATAGGTATTGTTCTGTTCGTGCATAGTGTTTAAAGAGATAAAACACAGGAAATGTGCAAGTATTGCAGAGCAGTACTGTATAGTTTATATATATATATATATA